CCAGTGATTCGAGAATTAATGAAATGGCCCATAATCAGTTACTCTTTTTCATCTTCAGCATCTCGAACATACTCAGTAACCCTGATCCTGTCATAAGCTTTCATCTAGTTTCATATCATTCTTTCCTGTCTGCGCTTCCTTTGCGAGCAGCAATGGATTTTGAAGTTGAAATACACGGAAAAGACACCGGTATTTTATGGTACTCGATAGCTGCTACCTTGTCGTGGTGGTCGGGCTTGCATATCACAATGACCCAACGAGCTATGCTGGTGGAACACTTGTTCCCTCGGGGTCCTACCATACCAGAAAGGTCTGTTGGATAGTGGCTAGACGAAAAGCAGTTACCGTTGTGGTGTAAATTGCTACACTATGATCAGGGTCTGAGGTGAAGTCGTACTGCTGCTAGCTGGATGGGGTGTGACAGCAGTAAGGTGTTTCCCTTGGATGACCAACAGTTCTATGCTGATGCGGCCTTCTCGGTGGGAGGGGGGTTAGAAGAAGTCGGCCCCAAAGATAACACACTCCACCATACCCTACGGTCTGCCGGGCCGGCGGTGTTGGTTCATTTGTCATTTCTTTTCGACCATCCGGCCCTTATTTCTGGGGCCGTACACAAAAGGCTGTGTGTGACAAACCTCAAGCAGATGCCCGATGGGCTCTGTGGCCACACAAATCTCTTTCAGGTACCTTAAGAAAAAATAGTCTTCCACAGTATGCGCAGCCAGGAACTGTCAACCGCCCTCACAACTCTATCAGCACTCAAGTTTCCTCAGACTGCTATCCACCTCCTTCGTCATTACCTTCCAATCTTCCTTCACGCCTCTCGACTAACAATACTACATCATCTTCAATTCCTCATAGCTCTGCAGCCTTTGACAACGATCTGAGTTCACAGAATAGTAATGATAATAATAATAATAATAATAATTCACTTTATTCCAAACAATTTGGAATTCTCAGCGTCCTTGGTCTCCTTAAACCACGCTCCAAACTACATATTGGAGCCTTCAATGTCCGCACCCTCAGTCAAATTGGTCAACATGCTTCATTGGCAAAGACTCTAGCAACTCAGGCCATGGACGTGTGCTGTGTTTGTAAGACACGCATACAGGACCCAAGTGCGGTTATTCACCCAACATCTTTTGGCCAATCTGGTGAGTCCGCGAAATTCGTCCTTCGAGTTTCTAGAGACTCGATAGCTAGCTCTCGTGGTCTTGCAGGTGTATGCATGGTATTAAGCATTAGGGCAGAAAGCTCACTACTAGACTGGATCCCAGTTGATAGTCGCCTCTGCGCTATCCGACTGAACGGCACAGTGAGAACTAAAAGGAATAGGGAGACTCGCCGTTGTCTCTTTGTAATCTGTGCTTACGCACCCACTGGCTGCAGTTCGGATGAAGTGAAGGACGAGTCCTACCGTAAACTATCCAGCCTCCTCTCGAAAGCGAAACGTTGGGACGCGGTGATTGTTGCAGGTGACTTCAATGCACAGGTGTGTAGACCGAGTGAGGCAGAAAGGTGCTTAGATGGGGCTTTGTGAATCCCGGGTGAACGTACAGATAACGGTGATCGCCTACTACAACTGTGCTCAGATAACCACCTATTTTCAGCTAGCACACATTTGAGACATAAAGAAAGATACTGTCTGACGTGGCATCCACCGAGCTCAACTCAGCGATAGACACAGACATAGAGCACATTGCTATTAGTCATCGCTGGAGAGGATCGGTGGAAGACTGCCACTTCTTCTGGAGTACATGTTTGGGTAGCGACCACGTGTCTCAATGGACGTGAGAAAAATTTGGCAACAAAACCACTACGAGTGCTTCTGGACAACGAAAACACCAGAGCCGTGTTCAGTGAGAATTTGGCTAGGGAGTTATCGGAACAAAAGACTATCACTCATCCAGAAGAAGCTTGGTGCCTTCTCGAGTCTGCTGTAAAAGCAGCGCTGAAGACCGTAGCCGACTCCGAAATAGTGGTTAAGAAGCGTCAGTGGATATCAGCAACTTCTTCCGAACTAACGGATGCACGTGAACACCTCCCTGCGGGTTCTGAGTAGAATGAAGAGCGAGCGCAACTTGAAAGTAGATTGAGAAAAAGTCTACGCAATGACCGCGAACAGTGGTGGGCAGCGAAGGCTAAAGAGATGGAAAAGGCAGTGGTGATTGGTAACAGTAGACAGTTATTTAGACTTATTAAGGAAACTGTAGGGAAAAGGTCAACTGCGGTTAGTGGGGCAATAGCGGAGAAGGACGGATCTGCGATTTACTGGGAGGGAAGACGACTGGAACGATGGGCAGAACACTTTGAGAAACAGTTTAACTGGCCTCCAGCTACCATTGCGTTGCTTGCTATCCGGTCGGATCCTGAATGGAACATTGAGATGGGCCCCCCAACACTAGGAGAAGTTGAGAAAGCGGTAGGTAACGTGAAACGAGGAAGGGCGGCAGGACCAGACGGACTAACTCCGGATGTATGCAAGGGTGGTGGTAAGGTGTTCTTAGTCAGGTTAACGGAAGTGTTAACCAGTATGTGGGAATCAAATACGATCCCCTCTGAGTGGTATGAGTCACTGATTATTCCAGTCTTCAAGGAAGGTGAGAAGTCCTCCTGTGATAACCACATAGGAATCAGTCTGACGAACGTAGTGTCTGATTGTGGTCCTTTGAGTAGTAGAAATCATTGGTTGGGGATTTTCCTTGACATGTCTTCAAATCATTCATGATAATTCAATTGTATTCACTCTTTGACATCTTCGAAAGTTGAACATTTCCATTAGCTTTCATTTCAAAAAGTTTTTCCTCCTATACACTCCCCCACTTTGACGCCACTTTTTTGTACTTTCTTTTGCATGATGCTTTAAAAGTTGGCAACTTGGACCACTATTATTTTATGCAAGGTTCCACGTTGGTTTTGCCTGTGTTTATGGCAGTACTCGGTACGTATCTCGGCTCATTAAAGAAATTTGCTGTGATAGTCACACTTCAGCAGGCTTTGGAAGACAAATACATTGACCTGAAGATGAAATTCGACTTTGTCTACCGAGGCATTTTGAAAGTCTGATTGGTAAGAGAGCAATGAGGAAGTATACAACCTTAATTAAGACTACTCGAACTCACTCAGTTGTGTATGGGCTCATGGAGAGGTCTTCTAAAGTAGCGATATATAGTGTCTACCATATATTCTCACTACCACTGCAACTACCTATCTTTGTTATGGACATTGAATCAGGTATTGTACCATAGAATAGATTTGTGGAGGCGTATACTTAGCGCTGTGGACAAACGAGAATTTTAATCAGCGAGGAGTAAGTGAGTGAAGTAAAAATACAGACTAGGATAACTGTGAAAATGGTAACGAAGCGACAGTGCATTTCATGTTTAAAGATATAATTTGAATAATCGGGTAGAAAGTTCATCACAGTGGGTTTGATAAGCACTTTGTGTACTTCATATCCGAATGCTGGTTCGTAATCTGCATGTGAGTTTTGATCCTGCTCGGGCGCCCAAACCGAACCAGGTGTTTATCATTCGGGATCACTCCTTCAGCCGTTGACTTGAAGTCTGATCACTAAACGAAACACTTAGCAACTTTGTGCAAGGAGCCACACCTGTTGTGTGAGAGCTAGTGGTACTGTAGTGGGCTTTGCTGATAACAATGGATATAAGTAGTATATATCGACAGGGTGGCAGGAATCATAGGGAATTACCGGCAATGGGTAACGTTTATGCCAAGAGCAACGCAAGGGATAAGACAGGCGTATTTACAGTGGATGCCGCTGATAAGAGTATATGAAGAGCAGGTCAATAGCAATCAAGAGAGGAACGGAGGAGGAAGCGAACACATTTGCAAATGACTGGGTTAGTGCAAGGTGTACCATATGTAACGACTACCATTCCAATTGGTCATAATAAACACTCTCTCGTCCAATTTGTCTTCTATCTCTTCCGTACTACCAAACCTCGGTAGTTGGAGTGGAGTTCGGACCTGTGACCTATCCGTTGAAAGTCGTCCCCTTTAACCAATGAGCCACAGCTCCTTGGCGTTTACCAGTTTACACCACCTACGGTGCCACGTGATATTTTATTGCCTACTATAGGTTGAGTATACTATCCTGCAGTTCACTGTATTGTACTGTAGGGCTGTGAAACATGACCATTAAAGGTAGAGGACATGAGGCAGCTCAGGTTCTCCACCATGGTTGCCTTTGTAGCATGACCATGTGTTGTTCTGTCTCAGAACCAGTAAACTAGAAGTCAGGCGTAGAGTTTTGAGAAAAGGTAAGTCAGTCTATACAGTTGTCAAATCTCACCGACCGATATGGCTGGGACATGTGTTACGCATGCCTAGTCACTGTCTGCGTGCAGTATTAGTTGAAGTAAGTTGGCTTAGGAAAAAGTGAGGGCGGACAAACAAAAACATGGCATCTTTCCACGAAATCATTGACTGTTGATCTGAGCCGTATGGAGAAAAGTAAACTTCGGGGTTAGTATTTGTGCGCTGTGCGGCAACTTAGACCGTTACAGATTAATCCTAGATCCCATATAGATATTGATATTATTAGTATACACCCCTAAAACTTGTAGTGTCATAACAGATAACTACGCTTGCAAAATCATATTGTCTCAAAGGTCATTTTAATTTGATGACCATGTTGATTTGCATACAGTAGACGTTAACACTACTGATTATGTCTTTGAAATTGTATTTGTTTCTTAAAAAATACACTAAGCGTGTAATGAAGTGTATACAAATAGAACTTATGTACAATTAATTATAGGACAAAGGTTACTAGATTTCATTGACTATCAATTGAGTTTGACACATGAATATTGTTTCTAAATCTTTTCATTCATCTGGTGAAACGACAGATTTTCAAAAACGTGCTTATGATGTCATCTTCACTTTTTGTGGATTTTTGGAGATCGAATGTGAGAAATCGAAGCGATAATTTTGATTTGACACTATCAATTCTTACATATAATATTCCATTACAGATATACGCACGTTAAATTCTGCTTGATGATCATCTATTTGTCAGTGTAATAGTGGATTATGGTTGATCGTAACCGTTTCGAAATTCTGGAAGAGAATATTGAGAGTATTATTGATCATTGCAGAGAAGCAGGAATTGTTGTATGCGACTACCAACCCAGTATATCGTTTCAGAAGAAGATCAATGATCTAGTTTACAAGTTACAGGTATTATAATTTTATAAATATTTTGATTGTATGTGTTACAGAAAAACTTCAACACCAATGTTGATGAAATCACTCCGAATGTGTCATATCGCTGGCATTATATCTGAGACCTTCATGATTAATAAAGTATTTGATGAGTAATTGTAGTTATATATCCTGGAAGATGTTCTGAATGAGCGTTTGGTATTTCTTGGCACTTGTGAGTTAGGTGTTTATGCAACCGTGAAGTAGCTGGTTTTCCCTCAAAGGTTAGTACTCATGCTGTTTTGTACTGCTAGTTACTGGCTTGGAAGGTACCTAAGATACTAGTTGGTTCTAGACAGTAATAATCGTCCTCTCGCGCAATAGATTTGTAGGTCAGTTTTGCAGTGTAGCCACCGAGAATGTGGATTGGTGTTATGGGTGACTACATTTGATGTTAGACGGCATCAGAAATTCTTCTGGAGTTGCTCAATCCAATATTTCATGCAGGCCGACGTTTATTACTATACATTAGGTTTAATATGAGTAATCCTTCTTACAGTTAGAGCAAAACAGCATCTCATGTTTTCAGATTGATTGGCTGTATCTATAAAAGTCGTTAATAAAGTGTTAAATAAATACTGAACATCTTGTAATGCCATAATGATGATACACTCAGTATAATCGAAATACAAACGATTTTCAATTATAGTGGGATTGTTTCTTGATATCAATAGTTGCAAGTTCTTTTGTAGACGTTTGATTTTCTAATAGTGTAAGGATGATTGAAATACAACAAATGTACATCGATATACTATCGTATTTTTCTACTTATGATGAAGTAATATTTGTGTGGCATACTCTTTCTATTTACTTTCATAGGATGTTGATCGTATGCAAGTGGAAATGCAAGATATACACGTTCCTATTGAATTGTTCTCTAAAATCGATGCTGGCCAAAATCCTCAGTTATACACTCGTGAATGCATGGAGCAAGCTCTAGCAAAAAACGAAGCAGTACGTGGGAAACTAGATAGCCTTCGTCGCTTCCGAATGCTGCTTATATCTGAATTATCTCGTCAATTTCCCAATGAAATGGCTAAATATCGAGCTGTACGTGGTGATCCCGAAGCTCCGGTCCTAGGTCCTGCCATGTCCAGCAACTCTCAGTCAAATGGATCTGGTACTGAAACTGGCTCTGAAACTGTTTCAATTCGCTAAAATATCTAAGTAAACGATCACTGCAATTTGTTGCCTCTGGATGGACACATGTTTTTTTGTGAACATTGCATTTCTTCTTTTTCCTACACTGTTTCTGTATATTTACTTGCTTGCCAAAAGAAATGAAATTAAGTTGATCTTTCTTGATATTCTATATTTTTAACTCAGTTATCTGCCAGAACCAATCAGAGTCAATGACATATATGCAAAATAACACATCCTATACTCGTATACATTCTTTACAAGCTGTTGGAACTGTTTTATTACAGCACTGTTTTGGGAAGACCACTTCAGGAATTTACATACTCGTGAGAAACTTCCTCATTTATATTCAGAAATTAGTTGCGTATTTTGGAAACAAAACGTATAGCTAGCATCGGTTTGGTTAGGTGGTTAGTGCACCAGGCTGCACAACTGTGGTTATTATTCACGGTCATAAACTGTTGTTTATTAGTTCTGTATGGCTAGAATACTGATTACATGTACACTATACCAGGTGAATTAAATAGATGTCCCCTCATTACTAGTGTTTCAACATGACTACACTTGGTTGGTAACTATTTTTAAAGCCCAACTGAATATGAATAGGCGCCAAAAGTAGAGCTCCTGGCATATTGACTGAATATGCTGCGATACGACACAGTTATTTACACACAAAAGGCTCGATTAGGATAGAGCATGAGATTCCCATCAGGTAGAAAGCAAAACGTCGAAGTCACTAAACAGAGAATAGTTTCTTAGTGGTGCCTATAAGACTGAAGTTCTTTTTACTATGACTTAACTGGGTGCTAATTTGTTGTTGACGAAAGTGAAACAATATGGCGTTAATTTTACTTAAAAATGCAAAGGGTTATGCTTTTTAAACAAATGATGGTAACAGTAAATTTGACAGTCTGCTCTAGAACTGTTTTGAATAAACGATTATGTGAGGCGACAACGTCTAAACAAAAGTCGAGCAAAGGGTTTGATTTTAACAAGCATTAAGTAAACTAAAAAGAGTATGCGAGACAATGTATTTTTGGAAGTGAGCATTGCGATTTAAGTACATTTTCTGTATTAAAGCCTTGAAGTACCGACTTCAAAGTATTTTATATTTCACTTTACAAATGATTACGTCTGACGAGTGTTGGGTTTGTAAGACCCGGGAAGTGAACGCTTCACGCGTAATTCACAAAACGTACCTCAGAACATTTAAAATATCTTTTTCACGCCTTTTTCCACCTCGTATGAATCACTCATTTTCACCGCTTTTAGGAACGTCATTTCCCTCTTGGTTATGATAATTTTTATTTGTCCCTTGAGTTCCTAGTGTAACATACGGGTTCACTAGCACGTAGCCATTTCACTCTGTTCTCTGCAGTCTTTTGAACCTCGCTCCACGTCTCCCCACAACCTTTCATTTATTCCTCACACCATCTCCTCCATGTCACTCTCGACTAAGATGCCAAACTCGTCGTTTCCCTTTCGGGTTCCGCTCAAGGGTGTGCCCTTCAGCGTGATGTCTCCGAATGGTCTTCTCAGTGGATGTCCAATCCAACCCGTCTCCACATTCTTCTGCATATTTGTTTGGCGATGGGTTCTTGGCAGGTTGGTTACCAGCCAGCCAGAATTTCTTGTTACTCATTCTTATCATTCTGGCCATCTGGTCTTCAGTATAGACGGAACGTAGGCGGTAGCTGCTGATGAATGTCTGCGGTTTGTTGGAAGTGCTTTTCGTGATACGCCAAGTTTTTGAAACATATGGCAGCAATGACCTCACATTGGTGTTGAAAATCCGTACCTTGTTCATTGTGCTGAGTGCAGCAGATCTCCACTCTGATTTCAGACTAATGAAGGCCTGTCTTGCTGTCTTTCCGATCCTTGCTTTGACGTCCTCATATGTGCCTATCTCACCTGTAGTTGAAACGATGCTGCCCTGCCAAGATAGGTGAAAGAGACTACTTCCTTTAGGTTTCTCCCGTTGATGGTGATTGGTTCTTGTTGTTTTTGTTGGTGGTGTTGGTTGGGTATCTCCATCAACTCTGTCTTCCCTGCGTTCACTTGAAGTCCCGTCTTCGTTGCCTTGTCTCTTCTGTCAACTTGTTGGTCCTCTCATGTAGATCTTCGAGCTTGTGCCACATTAGACATAAATCATCATAGGCGAAATCCAAATCTTCTTCTAGGATCTTTTCATCGATCCAGCCAGCGTATGCCCATCTTCTCACAGCTCCTCTCAGTTTCTTGCATGATCCAGTCCAGTGGACCACAATCAGGGAGATCACCGATGATAGTAGGTGACAACCTTGTCTTACTCCTGTCTTCACTTCAAACGCATCACCCCGAGCTTTCCATTGTGGATCACTTGGCATGCGGCGTTTTCATATAGCTGTTGAATGAGGTTGATAAAGGTTTGTCGCACTAAAACCGTAGTGCTGAAGCAGCAGGTGCCAAATACTTCTCGGTCGACGCTATCGAAGGCCTTTTCAAAATCGATGAAGTTGAGGTGAAGAGTTGATTGCCATTCTATGCTCTATTCTATGATGATGTGTGGTGTAGCGTTGTTAATTGGTCCGCATATGATTTGTTCTTCCTGAAGCCAGACAGCCTATTCCTGTCGTAATTTCGAATCCAGAGAATCTTTTAGTCTCTCCAGTATGATGCGGCCTAATATTTTGCTTGGGGTGGACAGGGGCATGATTCCCCGCCAGTTCTTGCAAAGACTTAGGTCGCCCTTGTTTGGGAGTGTGACAAGGTAGCCCTTCTCCCACTCGACAGGTACCCTTCCTTCCTTCCTTTCTTGCAAACCGTCTGCAATAGTGGTGTGGGCGTGTCCGCTGTTATCTTTGTGTCTGTTTTCAGTGCTTCTGGCAGAATTCCACCTGGTCCTGCTGCTTTCCTGGATTTCAGCAACTTTATGGTATTCAACACTTCGGCTTTTGTCAGAGGGTTTATGTTCACTGATAGTTCTATGTTGATCTCTTCCCAGATAGTAACCTGGTTATTTGATATCGTGTTGTCAGGTCTCTCCTGCCGCCAGCCCGTTCTGTTTCACTTGCCAGTGTGTCGCAGAAGTGTCTTTTGTCTTTGAGCGCACTCTTCTTCACTTCTTTGTCCAGTGTTTTATACGTTGTACTCATTTCTTCTTTTCGTTGTTCATCCTTGCACTGGTTTATCTGCTTCACCATCTTCCCCTCCCTCCTCTATCAGCTTCCATGTGTCCGTCGAGATCCATTCCTTGTCTCGTTTCTTCTTCCTTCCTACCACGGTTATGAGGATTTCTGCCCACATCTCTTTCAAAGAGTTCCAGTGTTCTTCCACGCATGTTTCTTCATGGATGTTGTTCAATGTCTCCCATTTTGTCTTGATGGCTGACGTGAAGATGTCCTCTGTAGTTTCGTCCTTCATTTTCTCGTCTGAGTGTTCAACTTGAACTGTGGTCTATCACCAGCTTCTTTGAAGGCTGTCAACTAGATGTTGAAGTTGGTTTACTCGAGACCGTTATTGAGATTCTCCGAACGCGGTTCAAACCAGCATTCAGAGACCTATTGCACTGGTGCTACGTCCTACTTCGAACATACTCAAACCACTTCATATTTCCATAGAATTGAAATTCAATATTGTCAAGGGTTCGGAGAACGCAGCACATATCCAGGCCACCTCACTTGACAAAAGTTCACGTCATCGAATGACACGCCGCTTCTTCCTACTGCTCCTCGCCTAACCGCAACATTGCCCACACCGAGGTTCCACCAAGCTAGAGACAAAATCAACATAGACCTCTCCCTTCTCATAGACTGGAATGATCAGCAAAGTAGACTAGTCTGACAATACTACCTCTTATTGTCATATACTGTCTTGTACCCGCATCACTTTAAATAAAATCTTCCTATCTCCATTCTTGAAAGCTTCGGATGGCAAACTGTCTGGTTCTGCTGCTTTGCACCGTTTCCGGTTCCATACAGCCTTCTCAACTCCTAGGAAATTTGCGCGACTGACATCTACGTTTCATTCAGGTTGAGGTCGGATTTTGAGCAGCTGAAGGGTTGGTATGGGCCATTTGAACTGTTCTCCAAAGTGTGCCGGCCAACGTTCTAGCCACTTGTCCTGAGAGATTATCGGCGTCCTACGCCTTTCGGTGATCGTTTCACTAACTATCATTTTCTTCTCCCCGGCATCCATAATAAACCCAAATAATGGTCTGCAACAACTCTTAGCTTATTGATAAGGAATGAAGTAGCGGAATGCATTGACCACTTCACTTACTTGCGCAGATGTATCTGCCCGGACAGGTTAGTTTCTATCGAATTATCAGATGTGATAGGAAAGGTCTGTTTGGCATGTGCCAACTTGCGTTACCTGTGGTATCGACATGCGAAATATCGGAATGTCTTTCAAAGGAATATGCTGCGCTGCAACCCGTTCTGTCCCGTCATACGGCTGTGACACATGGTCGTTAGAGTTGGGGACAAAATCAACTTAGAACCTCACACACAATCGCACTGCTTCAAGTTGTCACATTTCATAGTAGCATTCAAGAAACAGTTGGATAAGAAAATTGATATCAAACGGAACAAAGTTGTCTGATAGAATAAACAATTAGATTATAAAGGTTAGCGTAAATATTCAAGCTTTAGCAGACTTCAAAGAGTGAATACATCTGCGCCACTGTGACCAGTTTTCAGTCATCTGACCAGGCGTTCTTGACCACTGGTTCCTGTCTTTTTTGCGTACACCTCCCAACAGCCAGGTAGTCTACATCTCCCCACATGACTCTTGGTAAACTTGGGCTTAAGTTGCTTTTGACATTCATCGTGATCAGAGCCAGCTGGAATCAGTCTTCTCACACCAGTCAGTCTTGATGACGTTGCGGAAATCCAATGAATTTTGCTAACCTTCAGGTGTACATTACCAGTTACCTTTGCCGGTTTCTACAGCAGACTTAATATCACGCTAGGTTTCATCAGCACGAGCGTTGCTGTCAAGTTCAGTTAAATGCTCAGGTAACTCCTCTATAAGTACATACTTGATGTTCTTATCTTCTAATCGAGCATGCACAGGCGCTACTGACTCCTGTTTCCCGCGAGCAGTTAGATGTAAACATACGTGCTCGGACCAGCGCGTGGTCGATGTAAAAGCACACTCTCCCGAAGGGGAGGCAATCTTTTGCC